CTTGTAGTCCCGTTAGGCTATAGCGACTTCCCACACTCTAATTTCTTTGGATAATAAGTGACTCGCCACACCTCACCCTTTGAGGATGCTATGAATCGTTGATTGATGTAAGGCGTCACTCAGTAATGGTCACTCCCTTTTCAAAAATTGAAAAATCATACATAAAAATTCCAAAAAGCTTACCACTTCTCGGTTCGATGACCTCGAACTTCTTCCCAGCTGTCAAATTCACAGCAGCTCCACCAATATAATGCAGTGCATTGGTAACGTCTTTGCAATTCAACATCTGCTTCTGAAGATGTCTGGTCAGCCTCATCTGAAGCAAGTGGTGACCTACGAAGTGATGCCGGATGAGAACCTCGTTCATCTTGTGGGATTTCGAGACTTCTTTCCTCATAGTACTTCTGCCAATACTCTATGATATCACCATTCTCATCTTTGAAATTTAGCTTATGTTCAGGGAATTCAATAATCCCATTGTAGGCTTCTGTTACCAGCTGACTACAGTAATACGACTCTTGTCCATTGGAGTTTATGTGATCTGGACTAAATATGTCGTTGTACGGCAAGCCCACTTTCGATTCGGCAAAGGCAGCCGCCTCATATTTTGCTTTGTCAGACGCAACAACATGAACGATTTCCAGGCGATGCGGTTGGAATTCGGCGACGAACTCGTCCACCGTCTGGCACTCGACGCCGCGCGGTGTCGCGTGTATGAATCGCTTGTCGCGCCCGATTATCGCCACATGGTAGTATGGAGACGCGGCGACGTCGCTCACCGCTTGCTCGAACGAACACGCAGTTGAGTCTTTGGCCAAAAAGACCAAGTCGCCAACACTCGCATGACTCAAATCCACATCATTCATCTGAAAGTGCAAGGAATTCCAAAGGAACTTCAACCTCAGACCGATAAGAAAATCAGTGTTAGAATATATTCATCGGCCTGGATCGGATATGAACACACATACATTTCAATAAATCTAAGCAAGACAGAAGAGCGCTCCAATAATCTGATTATATCTGACGGAACCAAGGAGAGAAATAGAGTAATGCCTTTAATCGATACAATATTTTATCAATTCCCGCAGCCATCACTTCTGCACACTTCCATTTCCAGCCTAGTAAACAACTTTGGACAATATTGCGCATCCAAATATTCCAGCTTACGCGTCAAGTCACAACGCGACGCCGCGCCTCTTGCAGTTCAAATTTCGCGCTCAATTCGGTGTTGTGTGCTCTGCGACTTCACAAACAAGTAATCCCGCAGTGGAAGTCTACACTGCGAAAATATCAAAAGCGTGGTACATATGGTACGTGAAGCACGCAATGCTTCAACTGGGCGCGAAATTTGAACGACAATAGGCGCGACGTCGCGCTTTGACCTGTCGGCATCGATATTACGCGAACTGGCCAATGAGCACGCCCCATGACGAGTAGGAGCGGGTCTGGTCGACGGCGGACCAATCACAGCGCGCACAGACCCACAAATCGCAGTGAGAGTGGTGCAAAGAAATGGCTGCAGAAATGATCCGATGGATCACCCAAAAAATCGATAGCATTGTCATAATTCAGCAAAAATCACAGAATATGGATACTATCAGCAACTAGGAAAATGTTTTCATTTGAGAAATTTAAAGCTAGGGGACAGTCTGAAAACACTGTTTAATACAAAACGATCAGGAATTTGGTTCCATGGAAGCAAGGGCAATGCAGAAAAATGTCAATGGCGGTCATTCATCATGTCGGAATAAAAAGGGCATTACCATCACCCAATAGTACTACGTGCTCCGGGACATCTCTCATGCCCAAAATCGATAATCTCCCCAGGTCCCGTACATATCTGTCCGTAGCATCTTATTTAAAGATCTAAAACTTGACCCTGATTATTAACTAAATAGTAGCCATAGCCATGACCAATAAAACCATTATGAAGACTACCGAGTTAATTTACCTTCACCTCAAGTTACAATCTAACCCCTGGGTTACCGTACACTTAATATTGGCACAAAGGGAAACAGCGAAGAGACTAGTACACACTAAATCACAAACCAGTGCCAAATCACAGGGCTAACATGATCAAGCTACAAAAATCGATATACAGTGCAAGATTCGAAGCGCTATACAAAATGACACATGGAAATAATCTTTGACGAACATGGAAGACAAGGTTATGTCACCGGGAACCCTTAGAGGGGTCAACAATCACGACTCGAGGTGAGCTGTGTTGGCTGCCGGTCTCGGAGGTGACGGCCGTCGCAACAACCGTAGGACTGGTGCTGGTCGTCTCGGAGGTAGTGTCGTGGCGGGCGGAGCCATGGTCTCCCACCTCGATCACCTTTTTAAGCATGCGTTCGATGCTCTTCGGTAGGTGATCGGTCAGGGCCGACGCTGTCAATTTCACGTCTGTCAGGCACCTGAAATCCGTAAAAAATACATAAAAAACTTTTAAATGTAGCAACAAGGTTGACCCATAAAGATATGCGTCTACGACAAATGAGGTCACGTCACGGACGAGACAACCATGATATCATGCCTAATAAAGAGCAAGTAAGTAATGCAACGGGAAGCCGATTTCTATTCCGCAAATACAACCGATCTGCAAGTAGGAGCCTGCAATCCTCTACACCTATGATATTGAAGAAGAGCCATCCTTTTCGCGGAGGAGGGAAACGAAAAACCTTCAAATTTTGATGTTTCTCAAGGAGACGGACTCAATAAAAGGCTTACTGTAGTGCATAAGCTGCAGTATTCAATTAAGCATATGGAAAAAACACACCAAAAGTAAATAAAATATTTTCTAAAAGAACGTTTTTGTAACTTTCAAGACCTAAGGGCTTAATGGAGAGAAAGTCGTAATTCGGAAGAAATGTACACTCTTTCGGCCAGCGAGTGAGCTGAGCAGCACCTTGAGGCCGATGTCAGACTTTGCGAATCGCGCGATTCACAAAGTCTGGCATCGGCCTAGAACGGACACTAATCCCAGAAGGAATCAAAAAAGTCTGATCCTGTTGCAACTGGGGCTCACTGATTGTAAGATGCAACACTGAGGAAAAAGAAGCTTTGAAACGAAATAACCACAACCGTCGATCTCAAAAACTGTTCGGAGGTGAAATCGTCACCAACAAACTTCTCAAACTACTACACCAACCATTTATGGCTACGTATAATTTCCAGCCAGGTGACTTTAAAATGGGACAATACAACATCAAAACAATCACTCACTTCGGATCAATCCATTGACTTGCTATCCCATCCTCCAGGCTCTCGTCCTCGGCAATGTACAACAGCTTCCCTGGTGCGAACAGCTAAAAGAATTACTTCAGTAAAAGGGCGCTTGTGTACTTACGTTATAGTCAGCATGTCTTAAATATCCGGGACGAAATGTGAAACTCTGCCTTAGCTGGGAATGAGCGCGTTCAGAACGGTGGTCAGGAAATGGTTAACCATTACAGGATCAGGATTACAGGCAAATTACTGACCACAATTTCTCGACAACACCATGTGCCTTATCTTTTTCACGTCCAAAGTTTACAATGTCCTTTAGTGGTACCTTACCGACCAGCTTAAAATCAAAGGTGCGGTGATCATTCTGAAGGGGTGGCGGAGGAGAATGGGTGGCATTAACTCTGTGTTGGTAGGAGTTCGTATTGAAAGGGTACAACATGGGAATGAGCAAGATTGAAGTCCTTAGATATTTCTGTATTGTTTAGCTTCCAATACAGCTTATTAACTAACTTTTAAAGAATATAGCATCTTCTGTATATAACCTAATTAAAGGTTAAGATATAAGATTCGCACTCAAAGAGAATGTAAAATAGATTTCGAGTCGACTTTTTACCACATAAAGTAACTATAATTCTACATTTTCTCGATTTCGTGATATGTGTTAGCTATGTATCTGCTTTATTTTTGCTTCCTGGAAGAATGCACCGGTAAGCCATTCCTTATCAATGCACTTTTCCTTTCCTTGAAATGTTATGCGTAGGAGAAAAAATTTGGTCGGAAGGTTATCAAGAAACTCTGATCAAATTCTTGCATGAATGATGAAAAACAGCAAATCATCAGAAAACGAACTGGTTCTTACTATGAGGTCAAATCAGTGGTCTCACTGCAATCACCAAACCTCTATCTTCGTGCACTTTTCGAAATTCAACGAAGACTGGTCTTATTGTCTTCCTCACTTCAATTAGATCTTTCATACCGACTTTCATCCCCTAACCAGTATCGAAGGATTGCTATGGCGAGTTGCAATAGTAGCTCACTGGCAATATCACCTACGAAGTACGCAACCGGGAACGGACCTTTCGAACTGTTGAACCGACCTTACGAGACCCAAAAAGGGCAAAGCAGCAAAAAAGAATGAAGAAGAAAACGGTGATAGAAAACCTACCTCTACTCTTGAAGCCAGCCGTTCATTTGTTACCATCGTCACTATTGTGGCCGTATTTGGTGCAACATTGCCAGCTGTACCGTACGTTCCGTTTGGATTTGGGCCATCGGTGATGAGATTCGCACGATCCGTTACGGGGCCTGAAGTCCATAACCATATTTCTTCCTGATTCTCTAAATCGCAGGATTACTATAAACCAAGCTATGTGTTGTATCCGCCTTTATGAAGGGTACAAGAACTGAATAGTAAAGAGAAGGATGCAGAATGTTGTGAAGAAAGGAAAGGAACTCTAACGGAACAACCACTTCCACAACTAATGAATAAACTTATCCACACTAAAAGAATCCCCATGAAAGCGTCAATGGAATTCAGGTCCCATTCTGACTCAAGGAGGTATCACTGTTCATGGCTGAGCTATATAATGGAAGCGGTCGCACACCGTTCAAATCCGCCAATCAGCCAGGGAAATAAAAACCTCAGCTGGTCTGGCAAGTTTAGATTCCCAAAACGTGGTGACTTTGCGCTACCTCACTTTGAGACATTTTTATGCTCATCTGCCACCCGATAATGGATTTGTATCAACTTACTTCTTCCTTCCACTATCTCCCTCTGAAGGAATTCTGACACGAACAGAAGACGCGGGAGCAAGAAGGCCGAACCGTATCCCACAAGGCAACACATGAATACAGGGGGGGCCAAAAAAAAAAGACATTTTGCCTATGTCGGACTTCGGCTCTTTTTTCTTCGCAGAGATTGCTGTCGTTGACGGGAGTTCCTCAGCAGAGTATTCCCTAAGTGTTCCTCTATTAGTGTACGCAGGCTCTCCTTCACTGCCCTCACCGTCTTCAGAATATGACGTCATCTGTCACCGTCGTCAGGCTCAAGGAGGTCTACCGTAAGAGCTTCAGCCTGAAGCTCTTACGCAATTTCGTGAATCGATTTAATGTTGGATAGTTTTCTAGAGGCATTAGCTACCACTGTGCAAATCCCCTCGGAACTAGCTTTCCAGTAAGGGTCGTTATGGTACACGATCCTTCGAAGACCCCATTGAGCTCGACCAGTGCACCATGTTTCCAGGGCAAATTCTTCTGTTGCCGTCCACGTGGGTGGCCAACATGAAGATTTTCTTATAGAATGAAATGTGCTCTTTCAATATTAAGTTGGAGACCACTCGGTCTCAATTGAGCAAAGTGTGCTTAAATCCATCTGGAAGTGGAGACAAAATGTCTTTTTTTTATTGGCCCCCCTGTATACTGCCTGGTCTTTTCAACTACTAGTTGCTTGGCTTCGGTTCGATGAAAAACTACATAGGGCGTTCCTCTGCAAAAAAAATGTCCAATTTATCATTCTCTGCTAAGAATTATGAACTGGTATTACTGCTAATACCATTAGCCAACTTAGCAATGATCAATGGACTATCTCACCATTTCCAGATAGCGGACCGCTCTCCCACGATGGACTGAAGAAGATCCGGAAGATTCCACGGATCAGGATTTCATACTTCGCTTTTGTACAGGCATCTAATTCCGCCGCCACTTTGAATGCGCAGTCGTTTGCATGGCCTGAATGAAATTTGAAAATTGAAACTGTAACGAAATATAAAAACTACGGAATCCTTCCCCTCAAACCATAAACTACGCCGTGCTACCCTGGAAGGTTTTTTAGAAAGAAAGATCTGTGAAAAATAAACTTAATGTCATGAGAAGCCACCGAAAAGTGCAGAACGCAAGCTGACGAGTCCGAGAATTTGTTCCCTGGCTAGGGGAGTATAGCATGTAGCCCATAGCTATCACATGATCACCCCAGAGACTCGATGAAAGAGACCTTCGGTTCGAAATAATTCCGGTAAATATGTAAACAACCGTCGACCAATAATGTGGCCTTCCTTTCCCGATCAGTAGCGCAGCTACCAACCTCGAAACCGCGTGCACGCGACTGGTTGGAGTCGACCGGTAGCATACGATCGTAGTCTCCGCCACAAGGCACGGTAAGGTTAGTTTATTCCCAAGCAGGTTCTAATCCAGCTAATGCTAGCAAGACACTACTAAAAAATCCATGCAAAGGTCAAAAATTCGTTGCTATCAGATCTACGTACATCAAAAAATGACGCTGATAGCAGATTCTGATAAGAACACATCATTCCTAAGCTATCACAAAAAAAAGAATATGGCGCATAATAAGACCTATGTGTACCAGCTACATCGACCAAGAAAACCGTGCCAGCATAAAATACCGGTAGCAGGAATCCTACAAGGCCACAAAAAAGTTTCAAGAATAGTTAAAAATTACATGGAAGGATATCCGTGACACGACGTCATCACCGCTGACAATGCTCATTACATGTTGTTCCATCTCATGTAAACCGTTCTCGCTTATCACACAACCTGGTGGAGCAAACGCAAAACATCGAACATCTGGGTATTCTTGTCTGCAAAAATAAAAAATATAGAAAAATCCTAAGAAGTGATTAAATTGATCAAACATACTTGAGTAACAATGTTAGTAGTGATGCGACCCCAGCACCTAGAGAATGTCCGCAAACCACAAGTTGATAGTTTGTGTTCAACACCGCCAATCTTCGAGCCAATGATGCTCCTGAAACACAAACGCCAATTCTCATGATGATCAAATATGTTGATAGCGTCCGCTAAAATTCCCTATCATGGTTACACCCAACCCCTTCTTTCCAAAGCACCCATTTTTTCACTCCACCAAGGTGAAATGGAGTATAAACACAACCGTGGAACGGTGAAAAGCTCAAGACCAAGCAAATTGAACGCCCAAAAATCTGATATTGTGGAAAAATTTTAGATAAACCCCTACTACAACCTACAGCAGAACTCCCTTTATGCTCGATCTGCGACCAGTAATTGGACCAGGTGATTTATAAGCATCCTCAAGAATAATTGTCCCGCCCCCCACTTTCAATTTTCAAAACGCTCAACAGCAATGAACTTCAGGGCCATTTATGTTCGTAACTCCTTCAAAAATTTTCTAAAATGCTCGTAAACTAACCTGAGTGTGTCGAAGACGTATCTTGCACTCATAAGCATGCCTCTATGAACCCTGACTTCCCCTTCTGCGTCTAACGTGGTGTCTGTTCGCAGTAGAGGATCAGCGTCGACGTCTATCGACAACACTTCGTCGTCTGAGAAGAAGCAACGGAGTTAGGCAGCAGAAAAAAGCACAGAAAGAAAGAAAAATAAGATGTCGGTCAGATTCTGCGATGATTGGCATCGCTCCAAAGTGCGAGCGACGGGAGATTTACCCCGCCGACGACCGATACACACGGCGCCGCTCGGGTAAATCTCCCGTCGCTCGCACTTTGGAGCGATGCCAATCGCTCTAGGCAGAGCGACTGCATCGCGCGATGCAATCGCAGAGTCTGACCGACATCTAAGCGTTTATGAGTGGCGGCTGTGCGCTATCTATTCTAATTTTCTGAAATGAAATAAGAAACCACAAAACACCGTCAGAAGAGTAAATAGGGTCAAGTGTGGTGAAATAGAAAAAGAGAACCGTTAATTATATAGTTTCCTTGATAGAGCAATTACAAAGTGGAGAAACCTGACGGGACGGGAAAACCGAATAGCATGCAATGAAAACCGAGAGAAGTTGAAAAGGTAGTAGTGATGTGATTGGAGAGCACCAGAACAGGCACATTGCCTCAAAAGTTTTATAAATCACGAGCGAAAATGATCTAACTCCCCCAACTCTCCTGCTTTACTGTCAGACAAAAACACATACCTAGACACAGATCGGTAACGAGATCCACCAACGAACACGATCCACGAATTGTGATGACAATGCTACGAGTCTCATGATCAGCAAGTACAACAAAAGGCACCTAAATTTGGATTTTTTTGGGAACTCCGCAATTAATCAAACTACAAGCAAGAAGAATGCTTAAATCACATTACAATTAATCTTTCCATTATACGCGCCAAATAAAATAGAACAGAAAAAAGAGTAGCGCGTAAAACTAATACGAACCACCGGATACTAGAAACCAAATTCAGTGTTCATCCTGTGCGCTTGAGGGCATATAGAAAGGATCTTGAAAAATGAGGCACAATTCAAGATAAGATACTTGCGTGGAGGGCGTGCACATGGCACAGCATGCGCGTTTGCAATGAGTCAAATGGAACTCAGAAGTCAAAATGTTAAGCGCAATCTTATTCAAAAACACTAACTCTGCCATATCAAAACTGCAAGAATTCAAAGCCAAAATGGGGTCCCCCATCATTGTAACCGGATCGCTTTCGAACATCGCTTCTACGGAAGCCCTTTAAAACACATTCGTTATTCCGGCGTCGTCAAAGCCGAAAGCGATGCATCAAAAAACGCTTTAATAGATGACATACTCTCCAGAAATGGTAAATTACCTCATAGAGTCCGTTACGAAACGAGACGAAGAACAGATCGACATTCTTCTCTTCTGTGGCTAGTGTGAAGGCTGCTGTGTTACAGAAGCAGCAATTATCCTCGATGATTAGCACCTAAAACGATATCGTTTATCCCTAAAAGTCCAAACAATGAGAACAATACTAGTGATGTTCCAATTTTTCCTGTCCTGTAGGTGTTAGTCTCCAATCAGAAGCAAAGCAAATCAAACAGAGCTTACGGTACACCACCCAACCCGACACGAATCATCTTATGAGTAAGATCTCGCGCTTGCACCCCTCCCCCCCCTCCTTCCTCTACCATATCTTCATGTTGCACACTCTTTCGGGAACTTTACGTTGACCTACAGAACTTAAACACAGCATTCCATATAGGTGAACCGTGGAACCATGCAAACTCTTACAAAGTACTTGTCATCAGAAGTCGCAATCAAATTTGGGGTGTTATTTTGTTAGAAAATTAGGCAAGAAAAGCGAAGAGAAAGGTTAGTGGGAAAAAGCAAAAAGCACGATGAAAAACATTGAAAGTTTCCTTGTGGGGTCGATCATGCTATATCGGAGAGACATAGCGTCGCCAGGGTAGGGAAAACGCGACAAAGCACTTCGTATGCGAACAGGCGCAGAAGCCGCGAGTGCTGCAGTGGCAGCCGTTGCAGCGGTAAAGCGAGGCATTGGCTCCCAAACGTACTGCAAATGCAACCGTTCAATTCAGGAGAGTACCACCACCTCGTAGGGCCTATTATTTTACTCAGGGAGAGAATTTATCTAAGGATCCAATCGGAGCCGTGAATTTAAGGCTGCACAGGTCGACATCAGTCGTAGTTCCTAAATTCCACTGCAGGACCAGTTAAAGTGAAGCTAGTTATTCACGATGGACGATGGAGTATTTTGTTAAATTGAGATACACAAAAATAAATCATTGAGGTAACTTCATTGAACAAATTTGTTCATTCCAGAACATATACTAGAAGTGAGGCACGCGAAAGTCAGGACTAGCCTGAGGCTACTTATTTCCATCCACTGTATTAGGTTGTCTCGAAAGTTCGTGCGTATTTATTGGATCTCATGCCACAAGCTCCTTCAACAAATTCTAAATATGTTCACGTAGGCTGTAGATAGGGCACACCGTGTAGTAAATTATACCCGAATCTTACCCACCATCGTCGCCTTCTTCGAGCTCAAAGTGGAAAGAGAGAAGAGCTATGTTTTTCGCGCTCTGACGTAAGCAGCTCTACTGAGCCACAAACCGATTGAAGCCAAAAGCGGCGTCTGCATCGCGGTGCATCTCCTTGCCCTCACCAACAGTGAGGTATCAGAATAGCTGGATCTTCTCTGCTTGGGAGACTACAGCTGGTAGACAAACCCTCGTTCAGAGAGGTCATCAGTGTCGGATTTGGAGAGCCTGTACTCTTTCCTGGGAGCCACTCCACACGGGGCTCCCTGCTTTGTGGCCACCACATCCTGATGTTCCAGATGCACAATTCGTGAAGGTTCTCGCTCCTTCGAAATATGCTTGAAGCCTCGCCAAAGATTCCCCCATGAATTGACCACCGATGACAGGAGTGCGACACGCACTCCGTCCATAATTTGGTTCCTACTCCACCCGTACGCCCTGGTTGAACAAAGCCACTACTGCAGTTGAGAAGCTCAGGTTTCATGATAACCACACCTAGAATCCTCAGGGACTGGATCGAACAGAAGAGGGTGAAAAGTGAAGAAATTCACCACAAGGTCGTGCTCCACCTCTTTTGGTGCGTTCTCGAGTAAACCACTAAAGGCATGTCAATCATTATAGCTATGAATTCACTCATGTGTAGGCAGATCAACGGCAGAGACTCACGGTGAAAGTCCAACAACTGCCGTCAAAACTCAAAAAAGTGTGTACGCTCCACGACACCTGAGACTACACGTTTCGAAAATGAAGCGATTCTCAATATCGAAGCTTAGCTGAAAAGTCCTACCACATTCATCGTGCAGCGGTAATCATCCTCTTTCGAAAGACATCTGCCCTTTCTGCTCAGCCGCCTTCGTGCCGACAAAAAATACAATTCCCACGAGCACCTCAAAATCAACCTCACTGCCTTTTCCAGCTCATAACTGCCAGCCTTTTGAGAGTTGAATAGCCATTCCTTGGTTGGATGTTGGTAACAAGTCACTGATAGTGGTGGTACATATAACGATGATAGGTTGCACATGTGCTTGGAAAAGAGCGGGCTCAAACATAAGTTCAAAATACGCACGAACTTCTGAGACAACCTAATACATTAGCTTGGTTAGGTACATATACACTCGATCACATCATTTCGTATTGCACTTCGCTCAAAATGAGCCTGAAGTCAGGGGTGGGACATATCCACAACTGGCAATTAAAAAGCTTCTCATGCACTGCTTTTCTTTGTCGTACCCAGTTAACAGTGGCCTTTTTTACTTGGACCTATTTGAGTACAGAAGAGCACAGGTATGTGCCGCTATGAAGAATGCGAAGTCGCGTCTTCTACAGTCAACGAATTTCCCTGCGGGAGTATGAGGCCGAAAAGCTGAGAATCTGCAGCGCGGACGGCGCGCGGCACAAACGCACATGTAGCAGCATAATCGTACTCGCGCAAACGGTTCTTTAGGCCACGCTACATTAGGTGTAACTGGGCGATTCTGAGATTCAGCTATACAAGGGCTCAGTAATTGGTCGATTCATACAAAACGTTGGCATGGCCAGACATGCGTCACGCCTATGCGAATGTGCTGTTCCAGTTGCGCATTTGCACACGCGGTCGTGCTGCAGATGCTTTCGCTTCGTTCTCCTGCATCGTAGTAAGCAGCGAAAACACTATAAAAAGAGCGACGTCGCTTTCTATCATAGAGCCACTTGGAACAACTAGCGTTATCGCTCGATATCGCAGTTTATAAAAGGACAAAAAGTTGGTCTTCACACAAAACTGTAACGCTCGCACCTCAACACTCGGTTTTAGACAGCTCGCTCCGATCGACCTGGGGATCGCGGCCTCTACGAATGCTATGCATTGCCACATCGCCATTATCCTTCTAGAAAGCGCGACTAATACGTATGACCAACAACACCAAGCATGGGTTAAGCACATCAAGACAGATCATCCACGTAAGTCAAATAAGAACATGTAAAACTTACTATTACGATACACGAAGAGTAATATAATCCCAGAGATATCCAACTAGAGTTAAAAACTAATTCATGTGGTAATTCACGTGCATGTGCAATGCACGGAATGCGAAAGATGACACAAGATATCAGTAGAGGTTTTATAAGATTACGGTATATTGAGTCATCATGCGAATGAGACAGTAATAAATTCTTTGTCAAAATGGACTTTTCTTGTGAGCGCTTCATACCAGCGACCAGCTTAGCCATGACAATAACGCGGTTTCAACTACACAAAACAGGGCAACCAAATTTCTATTTCTATCCCTACCCACCCTAGTGCGGAAAGGTCCTTAAGTGGTAGGAGTTCTCTACAGCATTTTCAGAAAAAATTAATTTCGAGCCAATAGCTATTCACACCCCTTGCTACACGCTATTCACAGAGCTAAGCGTAGGGTACAAATTGCAAGTTTATGACGCTTCAGTTCCACATGAAGCTTGCCCCGTCCCCCGTCTCGAATAACCGCGGCCTTTCAGCTCATTACTTCTGACGCCAAGAGAATCCTCCTCCCACTTACTCTCTCCATCATTCCCACCACACGTTACCCTCGAGAATCAAGTCAGCTTCGAACATAAATGGTGTTCACCTTTCTTGCGGTGAGGTCTGATAAAAGATTGGTGGCTACTAGAACAGAACATGTCGGGAAGCGAAATTCCCGGAGACAAACTCATCACTCCGTATTATGAGAGCTTTTCCTGTGAACGTATTACGTGTTTTGTGCACAAGAGACCTTATTTCTCAGACAATGAATTATTTCGTGAACTGTGACGCTCTGACAAAAGTACACGACTCAACTCTAAAATGAGTTGCACGAAGACCACAAAGGTTGTCTTTTGCAAACATTGCGTACAAGTACAAATGAAGAAAACTCCCACTCTTACCTGATCACACCGTAACTGCCCGCAACATTGCATCTTACGGAATAGACGATATACAGCTCTCAGACTACAATTATGAAGCAAATACGTCGGCCATCCATAAACACATGCAGAAGAAATGTTGAAAATGCAATGCATTCTCGACTGTCATCCAACTTGGACGTTCTGCAAACGCAAAATTCCTTCTAATGCGTCAGAAAAGCATACCCAGCTCTGTGAAGCCTTCGTTTTTAACAAAAATGAACCGAAAAAAGTACACAAAAAAGACAAGCAAAAGAAGGAACTAGCAAATAACAACACAAGCTCAACAGCAAAACTTACTACTGCTTGCAGGTATAATGGGAGGATAAACATTAGCTGGTGAGTGGGCAAGAAGAAATAGTCCCGCGGCAACATCGCTGAACACTACATCAATATCAGCGAAGAACGAGCTCACTAAATTCGCCAGGTCTTCCATAGCCGCTCTCATCGGTGCTTCTTGTCGGAATGTGAACTTAAAAATAAAACAGAATTTATGGACAAAATGAACAACAGCAAACACTACAAAAAAAGCTTGATAGCGTCTGTAGCAACTTGCGAGTTTCACAAGTTTTTGAAAAAATAGGGAGATCTATGGGACGGCCCTTTAACTGGGGACGGACAATGTATAAAGGCTATTTCCCATTTCCAAGGAGAAGAGCACTTAAGCAAGGAGTTACAGTGAGCTAGAATGCCCTCCATAACGAGCTCGACAAAGCTGAAGGGTAACCATAAGCCTAGACATTAAGCTTTGGTCAGGAGACTAACCTAAGGCCACCACTTTTGGTGACCTTACCTAATCAAATACTTGAATACCTCCCTCTGAATGTAGTTAGAAAGTTTAGCCCCACATCTGTTGCCTGACACGAAGAATGTCAAAATCACAAAGTAAATTACTGCACAAATGAGTTGAAGAGAATCTAGTACATAGATCATTCTACTAATGCAAAAACACAGCTCATTCATGAAAGTGACAATCCCGTGAAATGCGAGAAAATGAACTCACAATCCTAAATCTTCTCGACCATGTCCTTCGGGCGATAGCGGAGGTGTCTTCTAGGCTATCTTCGTCGACAGGATTAAAAACGACAAGAACTCCAACGAAAACGCTCACAACCAGCAACCATTCCAAGCCCACTGTTATTTTCAAGATGTTAGAGAAGTGGCATACAGAGTCAGGAGGATCAGGATCTGAAGTTAACTAGCAGTGTTATTTAAACAAACCCTATGAAAAAAGCAACCCATTGAA